GCTGGATTCACACTACTGCTCCCCCTTCTGCTCTGGGGTCTATGAACACTCCATGCAACACAATTATATATATAATATTGTATTCTGTTAACTCACAGCCTCTGTGCAGAACAAAGGCACAATCACGGATAGGAAAGCAGGTAAAAGTAGCAAGTCTAGAGAACTATGGGTGACCAATGCTCACCACTTCATACCTAACACTTTCCCTGAGGAGATACAATCACAAACAGGATGTGGTGCTACAGAGAGACAATATCCAGGTACCTGCCCAGGGTCAGGAGCAGAAAGCAGACAAGTTGCCAGACACTGCAACTTCTGACAGGGGCTGCAGGCTCCCTCACCAGGCAGGCGCAGCATCTTCATGAAGCAGCAGCTACAGACAAGAGGTCACCGCCAGCCCGCAGACACCAGTGTCTGTGCACGCATCACAGCTGTAACCTCACACACAGGGGCTCCAAGCCAGCAGGGCAGACACCCTTCTCCAGCCTCTCCTCATCATCACTTCAGTCCACATCACCCGCTCCCCGGGCATTTCACACTCACATTCATCACCTTTCCACATTCCTTCTCCTCCTTTCCTACTTCTATTTTCCATCTTGCCTCCCCCCAATACGTTTAAGAGGAAAAAGAATCCTTCTAGAGGGGACAGCACAACAAATGCAGTTTCCTCATCACTGTATTTAACTTTCATCCAACTAGATCTACTGGCTTGCCAGAAAAAAATGAAAACAGCCCAGGCTTTTCTGAAACACTGAAGTCCAGTTCTTTTTTCTGAGGGGAAAGAAAGTACAGCTAAATGAATTAGACTAAGGTTTTTGCTCCTTCTTTATAGTTGAATCTCTAGCAGCAAAAGACTACCCTTCCCACTGCAGGGTGTATTTCTTGGCTTAAATTAAGCTTGGCTTAAGTTAAGCCAAGAATTCACATCAATCTTACACCTTCCTACCAAGGACCCTCAGGAAGGCATTCATTTAAATGTTACTTGATACTTTTATAAAACACATTGGTGTTAAACAAATTTCTTTCTGCTTTTTACAGCCAGCAAGATCCCACAAGCATCTTTCAGGAAAGAAGTAATTAGGTTTCAAAAGGAAGCAAACTCAGTTCTTTTCTACATAATTGTATCTACAGTCACTTCCTTATAAATACAGATGTGCTGCATTTTGCCATGACAAATCCAAATATCTCAATTCTACAGCTTATTCTCAACCTTCTCAATTCTACAGTCCATGACTTGGAAAGTCACCAAGTGGCTCCTGACCCAATAAACTAACAGCTCCAAATGTCACTGGAAATGACTTCAACACAGTAGGGTTCCATGGCTCCATTTCTCAGGCCAGTGTTCATACAATTTATTCTTTAAACAGGCCTCAGCATGCCAGAAGATTATAGATTCCATTGTGTGTGAACTTATATAAAATGCTATGTTAATTTACTATTTACTTGATAGCTTGCAACACATCAGTAATTAACAGTGAGCATTTAAGATGTGAATGAACCTAGAGGTATTTCTACATTGGGTAAAAAAAATCCAACTTAATTCCCAGATTATGACCCCTTAATTGGTATTTTACTGTTCCTTCTTTTTTTAATTCTCCTTCCTATCCTCCTCCTTGGATGAGAACTCAACACAACAAAGCAGGGACTGATGTTTTATCCTAGAAGAGGACAAAGTTGCATGCCCGTACGCGACAGCCTCCTCTCTGCCAGTGCAGGGTCATCATTGGTGGCGCTGCTTTGGCACTTGTACCCACAGGTGCCCACCCTGCCACGGAGCCCGCGCTGCCCCCAGCCTCGCCCAGCATTTCCACACTCCCTTCCCGGCTCCCCACGCAGGGTCTGCCCAGCCGCTCTCACGGGCACAGGCCCGTGGCCCTGAGGCACGAGGGGCAGCAGACACAGGACAGCAGCAGCAGTGCTTCCCACAGAGGGATGACACAGTAAAGCCTGCCAGGGCCAGGGGACCAGCCACTTACCAACCACAGCACTGCCTCCCCAACTGCAGCACCAAGGGCTGCTCTCACCCAGAGGTGCAGAAAGGCTCTGAGGAGACCAGCAGCACAAACCTAACACCCAGAGCAATGACTCTCTGGGGTAGCATTCGTCTAATGCACAAAGCAGGACTGGTGATTTATGTTGAACATAATTTCTTATGCCCAAGGCTCTGAAGTTAGCTGCAATGTAAGGAGCACACAGTGCACTGGGAAAAGAACAGCTCCATGGGGGGGCAAAAGTGAATTCACTTCCCAACCCCTCTGCTAGGGCAAGGGAGAGGCTGTGGGGGCAATAAGGCTGTGGGAACAGTAGCATTTCCACTCAGTGCTAACACTATTCAGCACAAACTATTTCCACACCTACGGATAGGCTTTCAAGTTCAAGACCCATTTGTGCCCTCTTACAATCCCTGATGCCATCTAATTATTACACAGTCTCCACTAGATAGTACCTGAGCTTGCCTGTGCTATAAAATTCCTTCTGCAGCGCTCCCAGAACGTGTCTTTTGGGCAGTGGGAAGCATTGCACTCAAGAGAAGGCTGCTGCTGCTTTCCTTTCCATGGTAGTTTGTCTTACAGGAAGAGCAGCTGGCCTGGCAGGGCTCCCTCATGGAGCACAACAGGATCTTACGGCTACAACAGGAGTAGTCACTTCCAAGTTACGGTCCATAATGCTTCATGATGCTTTTCACACACATTCTGCCTGGCTTATCTTGACAAGAAATTCAATTACACAGCACACCAGCACCACACACATTGCCCTATTACTATTTTACTACTAGAACTTGACAGCAAGGGCTGCCTCAAAAACCCAAGTAGAAGTCTTGGCAAAAACAATTACTCTGTMTTTGCTTTCAGAAGCAGTAAAAAAAGCAACTCCACCTACTCTCTATCTCTTGTACAACAGAAAGAAAAATTATTTATAGTTTGATAGGCCTGTCCAAATGAGAGAGGACAGAGCTGCAGCCCTGCTATCTTTTATGCTCAGTGTCCATCAGATTCGCTCCTCTGCTGCACTCTCAGTTTCCTGAGCTCACTGCAAAGCTGCATATTTGCTCTTGGCAGCCCCAGGCAAGGGCACCTGGCCATAAAAAAGGAAGAACCTTGCCTTTAAAACACAATATTAGCACCTATACCTTCCAGAAGCTGTATTAGGAGAAATCATCACATAAAATAAACTGCAGCCAAGGTCTGAGGGGCAGTAAAAGAAAACAAGCACAGGGATTTCTGTGAGCAGGGCTGCATCAGCAATAGCAGCATTAAGGGCAACATTTACATCGAACACAACTACAACAACTGAARAGGCTTGAGGTTCAGTTTCAAGCAATATCACTTCAATGGTAGCTAAATGCTACTGTGTCAGCAAGAACCACTTCACCCAAAGAGACAGACATGGAAGTGGTAACATAACAGCCATGGGTCCCCTCCTACAGTGTCTGAAAACAGAAACTGCAACCAAGCTCAGCTAAGGATCAAAATTATGAAGCACATTCTTGGTGCTAAAGTACAAGAAGATAAGCTAGGAAATCAAGCCACATGGTATGCACCRGGAATTACTAGAATGATCCACAGAGATGAAACATACCAAATAATAAGCTAGGAAAAAACTTACAGGTCAGGAGCCAAACAAAAAGCACCACCTCCCCCTGCCGCCACAGTTCAGCTGAAAAGCAGCCCTCCCACAACACCTCTTACAGAAAGAGCAAAGGCCAAAGGCTCGGCTTAAATAGAGCTCCTGGCCTATCAGTGCAGGGCAGTGGTGGCTGCCCCAGGTGAGGCTGATCAGGGCCATTAAGGCCTATTAGTCACTCAGGGCCCTGACACATTTAATTTACTTTAATCAAAAAGGCAATACAGTCCTTCAGAGGATCCACAAGTTCACAAACACTGTACTTATGCAATCCAAAGATATTTTGGAAGAACTGTACCATATCAAATAGATATCTTAGGACCACATAGATCCCACTGCTTTACAACTGAATTTTCAAATGATTATTGGTCCAGCTGGTACCAAGCATGACTTATGCTCCTCCAACGTGCAATYACGTTCCTCTCAGCACTGTGACAGCCCACAGCATTTGCCCTGGCCATGCTCACTTGCAGTCATTCAGCTCCCTGCCTAGGAAACGGCAGGCGCGCTGCAGTACGTTCCTTGGATCGGTGTAGCCAGCGCTCCTCCCCTCCAACTGYTATTTTAAGGAATATCCCAAAGGGCCTTATTGAACATACTATCTATATGCTCTCCTCAGGTCACGATCTTCAAAATGTCTCAGACACACGGACATCCAAGAGCAAGTGACTTTTGAGAAACCTGACTCCTATCCCTATTTGCTTTATTATTTTTTTTTTAGTCTGCCTATTCTATATATTATGCAAAAGACAAAGCAGCTARCAAAAGAAGCTACGGAACATGAGTGCATTGTTGTGCTCAGGAGGGTTAGCACTGCTGAAAAGCACCGCTCAGCAGGAGTGRTTAGTGTGGAAGAAGGTCTGTACTCATGTGTCTGTTCCGCTTCCAGGATCCAACCCAGCATCACTGTGTGGTGCTCTTTGGGCAGTGCTGGCAGACTCTGCGTTCTCCCAGATTCAGAGAACTCCTGCTCTGTTGATAAACTGAGTGGAAAGATGAACAGCTTTACGTGTATTTGACCTGACGTCCTGTGAAAGTCTAGCTTATAAGGAGCAAAAGAGAAGCTGAGAACAACTCAAACATCACTCAGTTTCAGAAATTGAAGAGAAACTGTGGTGACTTTAAATGCAACAGGAGGAACAGTCAGGAATAGAATTCAAGTATGCGTGACTAGGCTATAATTCTGAAAGACCAAAAAAACACAGTAGAAAAAAAAAAAAGTCACATTGTAGGTGTGAGCCAGCTACTCTTAATTTAAGCAGGAGTGCCCTCCTAGTGTCAGCACCCTGAGTGACTAACAGTCCTTAATGGTCCTGACCAGCCTCACCTGCCCATGGGCCTGGGAGCTCTACTTAAGCTCAAGCCTAGGCAGGTGCTTTTTTTCCTTCCCATYTCTGCTGTGAGTTTGTTGGGTTATCCAAGGTGTGTTTTGTTTGTTGGGGTTTAGTGCTGTAAATTGATTTCATAGCTTGATTGTAGGTTCATCTTGTAAGGATTGGGTTACGTTTGATGTTGTTTTCTCTTACTGGAAGAGACTGTAAGTTGAATTCTTAGCTTGGTTTTCTCAGGGWGGGCTGGACCAAGGAGCTGAGGTCTTGGCTGACCCTACTGCTACCTCTGTCTCTGTCTATCTAGRGTGCTGGGGGCTGGAGCCCTGCTTGGTGAGGCTCTCTGCTGGCCCTGTTCCTGTGCCAGCCTTCCTCTCAATGGGGGAGCACAGTCCTTCCTGCCATGGAGCCTCTGCACCAGCTCAGTTTTGTCAGCTGAAACTAACAGTTTGAGTTTTTCCTTGCTTTTTATGCTTTTACATGAAGTGCACTAATTCTAAAGCATTTAATTAAAAAAGCTATGTTAATAAAGCTTTTTTAGATCTAAAAAGTTGTTACATGAGAAAGTAAAGGTTTGAATGATTGAGAGTGGTTATCTCTCTATTCCCATTATCTCTCTTCTTTATTGAAGACTCATTTAGGTGGCTATAGCCAAATTTTTTACACTGCTAATTGCATTATATTCATACAATACAGTCAGTTCTGTTGATAAGTGAGTAGAAAAATGAGACTATTTGTTTTCATAATTGTTACTTTAATCTGTATAAGAAATTGCTCTTGGAAGTTGCACTTGATTCTTGTAGGAAACTCAAATTGGAGTCRATGCTTATTGTATATATGAAAGATGATACAATAATACTATAAGTATTTTTTTTCTTTTTCACTTTTAAGTGATGAATGAAGAACCAACTTCATCTACCTTTTTCATTTGTAATATGCCCAGTATCTGGAATGATCCTTGGAGAATTTCAAAGACTGAAAGAGCCTTACCTGAGCTAACCACTAGCCTACAAAAGCAATGCGCCCAGCCCTAAGAGTTTGGAAAAAAGCACAAATTATTTGTTTTAATTCCCTCTTAAATGACAGGTGTTTAATAGGAACCACCAAAGCAATGTTCATGTTACCCTGTGTTGGTTCAATAAACTTAAAGTTGACTGCAGCAAACACATTGGAGAAATTGCTACTACCTGATTTCAAGTAAGATCCCTTGCAACAAAGCCTTGCTAAGAGAAGACTGTCTATGTTCACACTCAAGTTTTGATGAAATGGACAGAGTGCTTTCTCTTGTTCTAGGGCTGGTCTTGTGACAGTGCCAGGATCCTTGACAAACATCATCTGGCCCTTTGCTAACTGGAGTTTATGGTCAAAATGGGACAATGCTGTAATATGTTGTCATTGGAGAGAAACAACCAGCTGGGACTCTTGATGCTTACTGGGGACTAGAGCAATGCTAATCTGTGGAATGGCCCTAAGGGAAGGCATGTCATTCCCAGGTGAGAATCTTTAGAGGCTGAGTGCTTATGATATGCTCTCTTGATTAGTAATTCTTGTTTCAGATTTCTCTTTTCATGGTTCTCCTTATTAGAAGTGTTGGCTCATTCAGCTTTTTTTCTACTCATTAAGAAATGACTCTGCTATTTTCTTTCTCTTACCATAATCAATCTAATAGTTGGGCTAGGAAAGGCATGTGATATGTTACTGTGTGAGAAGAACTAAAATGTTCCCAGCTTCCCTAGAGACAAATGCTTTGAAGAAGTAACAAAACCATTATGTGTTATATTATTGATAATGAAGAAATAGGAAACTGCAGAGGATAAGGTGCAGAATAAGAGAATGATGGATGGCCAGGAGTTACTTCCAAAGACTGGTAAATGTTTCCTGGGGTGTCTTGATTAAAAGTTTTTTTTCTGTACTGAATTTTCATTTGAGGCTATCATCTTGCTGACAAACAGCAAAAGATACTGTCCTACAAGGTAACAAGTGGTTATCCTGTTGCAAAATGTGATAAAATAAGACACTGCTGTTTTGCTCTGTGATAAAATAGGTTATAACAATATTATGCCTTGTTCTTGTTTTGGTTTAAAAAAATTGTTATTCAAAAGGAAGAGTATTCAAAGAAATCAGATTTTGCCCTTTTTTCACACACATAGTCCCTCTTTCTTACACACTGACTCTAAAGCAGGTAATTGCTTATGAAACAGACAGGGCTCAGCTATAGGCAACTGTTAGTTCCCTGCATTATCTCAGGGAGCAGTTAATCTTGCTGTGATTGCTTTTGCTTGAACAATGGAATTGAATGAACAACACAAACCCATTTAATTGCTTGGTGTTCAACAGACTGTAAAATAGCCTGTGCAGTATGTTCAGTGCCATCACAACTTTAACTTAATGCCATTTGTTAAGAGCTAGATAAAAGAAAATACCTGCATTCTCTTTAAACAGAGCTATGTTGTTTTAAAATAAATTTGTAAATAACSACTTGAAAAATCTATTTAAAGCTGTCTTTATGAAATGGCTTCTATTTTGTTGCAGCATTTCAGGACTAGGCATGGACCTCTTTAGTTGCTGGTTACCTTCAGAGCAGGCACACGCCATTGCAAAGGATAATAATTAACCTGATATATGATAATGCAGRAACATGCAGTTATATGCCTTTGTGAGGAAAATATTTTTTTTCTTGGTTTTATTCTGTCATTCTTAAGAAATACAATGCCCTACAATATAGACTTCCTTCATGWGCTGATGAAATGTCCCCAGGTTTGTGCTAAACATTATAGTGAAAGTTTCTTAATGGCCTTGGTGCAAAGTTGGTGGGCTTGCTAGCCTGCTGGGGGTGCAGAGAAGTCCTGAACCCAAAATCAGAGTAGGTCTGTGACAGATGCAAAACTCTAAATTATTCTGATGAAGAACTGCTAGACTCACAGGGATTAGTCTGCTGCTGCTGAACTCTACCTCCTTACATAAAAATAGCTTGTTCTCATGGTTTGGTAATTTCTTACATAGCCCAGTGTTCTTCCCCAGGGAAAAGGTGATAGCAAAGTAGTGAGAAACAGGAATAAATGAAAAAGGGATAATGCTGGGAGACGGGGGGAGGAAGTGAAAAACAAAACCAACTGGAGAAGGATGATCTGAAGTAAGGGAAAGTAAACCTCCATAATGCATTAATTATGGCACAAGAGAAAAGCACAACTCAAACTATTTGAACTCTCAGCCTTTCATAGTATGTTATTTAGAAAAGCAATTCAGCACATGATTTGAGGGAATATTCTTGTGTTAACTTGATCTGTGGACTGTTTTCTTTGGGATTTAAGCTGCAAGAGTAACATGTTTTGAGCTGGCAGCTTGGTATGTTCAATATTATGTAAGCTGTTCTTATTCATATATGAACTCCTGGAAGAACACAGTTCTTGAACCCCCTGCCCCATGTCTACCATTATGGGGTTTAATGCATGTGCAGGGGTGGTTGGAGTCCTTATGATGGAATGTACCTCATATTTTCTGAATTTGTATCAGAGAATGCTTTAGTTCACTTCAGCAGACTAGAGCCAGACCTCCAGTTGAGTACTGTAAATTTATTCCTTAAGCATGGATAAATCACCAGCRTCTGTGTTAGTCCTAAGCTACCTAAAATCTCCATCAGTTGCAGGGTAGTATAGTAGAAACCATGCATGTATGTAAACCAAGGTCTGGGCCTTTGAAATAAAGGATAAAAAGTGCCGGTAGTTGTGACGGAAAAATGGTAAAATTATGAAATTGTAAAAGCACCTAGTTTCACAGGCCTTGGTGAGTTTTGCTCCTCTTCTCCCCTAGATCTTGCCACCTGATCAATCATTGTTTTTTTTTTGCAAAGGAGGCCTAGGACTGAGCGGTTCCTGTGCAGCAGAGGAGAAGGACACTCAGGAGGCAGCAGGCTGTTGAACAAGGCTTTCCTGTGAAGGAAGAACAATTTAAATCTCAACCATAACTCTGTAGTATCTCTCTTCTGTTAATCCAGTCAGTGTGATGCTGTACCCTGAACTTAAACAGTAGTCTACTGCCTCAATTATTAATTCTTTTTTCTTTGGACATGAAAATTATTTTTCCCTTTATGGAATAATATTGACAGTCCACTGCCAAACAGAAAGAGAAGGGGTAAATCAGTGAGTCTTTGATTTCTGTTAATGTTAACCTTGAGCATCTCTGYATAGCAATGCTTAGCTATGAAACACTGGAAGACTTGTTGCAGTCTTTGTGCATCTTTCTTYGTGGCTCCCTCCTGGCAATTGGGATTTAGTGACCCACTGCCAGAGGTGACTAGGGCCCTCTGAACCTGGGGCTGCATCAGCTCATTACCAGGAACATTGTCCTGGGAGGTGGATGGACGTAGCCCTTGCAGCCCTTGTCTCTCTTCCCCTTGTTAACCATTATCTTCCCAGCTTCTGGACATTGGAGCATGTAGGTGCCCAGCTCCTGCACAAACATCAGCTGTTGAGAGATGCTCGCCTAAAACCTTTCCGTCTCCAGGCGCAGGCACTTTTCAGGCTGCACTGAGAGCTGCACGCTCCAGAGCAATGCCTTTCAAAGCATGTGGTTTAAAATACCCGTTCTAATTGTCAGACATTTTAGGTTCTTAAAATGCCACAAAGATTCTTTACTGTCTAGTTTCTTTCCTATTCTAAATTAAGACAGCAGGGATAATCTGACAACCCTTTTCTTTCACCAGATAGATTGAATTCATATCAACATCAATGTGTAATATTAACATGGAGAACGGAGTCCTAAGTGAAGACACAAACATACCTGAGCCACAGCATTTTTAGCCACCAACTTATTATCCAAACTATGAGAAAAGTCAAATCAGGATCTTGTTTCCTTCTGTTGCTCTCTTCCCACCACCTGCAAAGAGAATACCATTTTTGTTTTCTCCCATTCACACTGCATTTTTTTCTCCTTTGTCAAGCTGAAGGAATCTGCCATGTKTCTGAATGAGAATGTAGTCTCATTCAAACCTGTTTTTTTCATATGTGACAAGAGGGAGTGTTGCATAAATAACAACCAGCCCCTCAGACAAATCCTAATGTCACGTGATGGAGCACAGTGCTTAGGTGAAGAGCTATGACCWGCTGCACCTTTCCATGCTGTCAGGTGCACCCCAGAGCCTCTGGCCTTTGTGAACTTCAAGTATGTAGCTGTCTTCTGCGCCTCCTGCCATGCACTGATTTTTCTTCCTATGAATAGGGGGTATAAAGATACAATTTAAAAACAGGCACTCCTGTGACAATCAACATGTTGCTGTAMGTTTGTCTCACAGCATCTTTCAGGACTGTAGTGCCAGTTGTGGTGCAGTTGTTTTGTCCTTCCCTAAGGTCTCTGCTGCTCATCATCCTTGCTCTCCCTGTGGTGCGGGAACTGATGGGCAGGTCCAGGGGTGCCTCATTCCAGCTCATCTGAGACAGGTGTCTAAGATGAAACAAGTCACTTGTTGGAGGTGTTTAAAGACGGCACACAGCTAGTTCAGAGGATGGCTATGGATATTTAAGATGAATTTTGCCTTTTTTAACATCTGCATTATCTCTGCATAAAAATAAATTATCTTATTTCCTGTCAATTGTGTGGCTTTTTTCCTTGTCTAGATAATTTTTCTTTTTTTACAACTGTCAGAGAGCTGTTACAGGAGCATTAGGACATGGGTTCTTTTGGCCCAAGAGCTATCTCGAATTTCCTATAGGGATGCTCCATAGCATCAGACATTAGCATTTGTGGTGGAACTAGCTATAGGCTTCCTCTTCCATCAAGTAAGATGGATAAAAAGAAAACATGAAAAGGTCTATTAATYGCAAAACAAATCCTTATTATGTAAGTAAATATTGTTAGTAGCTTGCAAACAATCTTAAAACCAAATAACATTACTTGGTAGACAAAAATTTCTTATGCTGCACAAGGAAGTTATGTCAAAAGGATATCAATTATTTAATGTACAGAAGACTCAGATTTCTAAAGGTTGATAATGATAGAAAAGTTAAATAGGATAGAGGCAGGGGGAAAGAAAAAGAATCTTTAAACCTGACTACCACTACTACTTCATTCCTGGAAAAAGGGTATTCTGGATAATACATATTGCTTCCCCCATTGCTTTTCTTCTGTTTAATACAAGAAAAGCTTGTACTGTTTCTCTGTATGCAGTAGAATTCACACTCTGTTTTCCCAAGAAAAGTTACTTTACCTGGAGCCCACCTCAGTTTCAACATGGTGCATTTATTTCAAATTCAATAAAGAGAAAATGAAAAATTCTCATAGCAGCTGACAAGTAATCTTCTTCATTCCCTTTTGTTGGGAAAGTACAGATGAAATGTCAGCTTTCCTATACTGCTTTGTGTACTAACAACTTGTTAGTATGTTTAGGAAAAGCTGCAAACTGCTCAAGCCTCTGGCAAACAGCTGTTGTAAACAAAAATATCTTTGGGAGACTTCTAGAAAGCTCGGTGTAGCCCAAGAAAAGATTTTTGCCTTAAACCTCCTCTACAAAAAAGCTTCCAAGCAGCTGGGGAGACTACGGTGCAACAGAGGAAATGCTAAGAGGGAGGTTCATCTCCTCCTATCCCAGGCAATCAAGACGGAAATCAATGTCCATTGATTCCAGCRTCCCTTATGATGGGGCTCAGAGTGGAGAGCAAGTTAATGAACGATCAGTATGGAGCTATTCTAGATACACAAGTTCAGCCTTCCTCAAAATATGATTAATTTGGAAACTAGTGCTACTTTGTTACTAGTTTTTGTCAGTGGTGTGCCAGGGACCTGGAACCACAGCACCCGCAGGAGAGCGGATGTGTTTTTTTCCGTGCCACTGTTAGACACGGGCACAAGGATGGGGCTGTTTCTTGGGTCACTTCTATGGGTAAGCTGAACCCAAGGGACATCCCTGTTCCACTCCACTGTCACAAGCTAAAAGAAATTATTCTGTAAACAGTAATTATACAGCAATAGCCTCAGAGAGAACTTAATATTACTGTAATAATTCTCAGAATACAGATCAAAACCATTTTTCATCTCTGCCAGTGTTACAGTCCATCTTCCTGCTTACATCATTTTGAATTGAAAAAGTCTCATTATAGAGATAATTATTATAGACTAAACATAGTCATAGCATCACATAATAAAGTTTTGTTTCAATTCCACAAGACATAGACATAAAAGCCCAAATACTAACACACAAATAATTTGATGAAGCCTAATTTAAATACAACYTGAGATTATATTATTTAGCAGGGTAATGGAACAAATCAGTTTATTACTTTTTGCATAATCTCACCAGGCATTTTTTATTTTATGCTGTGATTCACAGATTCRTGGAGGAGCTGAGGTTGGAAAGGACCTTTGGACATCCTTCCTCTTCCCCTCCAACTCTGTTACTCCTGTTACTTAAATTAAGGCAGATTTCTCTCTTCTGCATATTGCACAAGATTCACTGCATATTGCAGCAAAGAGTGAGAAAATCCACAACAGGTCCATCAATACTTGATTTAGCTCTCCAAAAGATAGAGCCAGAGGCTCTGCTGCATGGATATAAGAAGAGGATTCTTGGGAAATCACCCTGTATTTTATGCTCCTCTTTTGGTCACTGTCAAAGAGGGGTTATTGGAGGAGATGGACCTTTGGACTGATGCAGCATTGGCTATTCCAGCATTCTTATGTTCTCAGAGGTACTTCTTAAATATTGGCATCTTTCTCTAATGCAATATAACCACTCATTTAAAAAAAATCGCTCATCACATCTCCTGCTCGAGATTTCCAAAATACAGAAAGATTCTAAATCCAAATTTTAGAATCTAAACAAATGGCCAGATGGTAAATACATATCAAGGATGACAGCATGGCAGTAAGCACGCTGCATCCTTAAAAATAAAGGTGGTTTCCCCCCCCCCGCTTTCTTTTACTGGCATGGCCCTGAGTGCACTAATAGGCCTTAAGTGCCCTGATCAGCCCCACCTGGGACCCCTGCCCACACCTGGCTCATGGAGCAAGGGACTCCATTTAAACCCAGCCCCCAGAGGCCCTGGCCTATTCTTTATAGCTGTGTCTGAGGGAAGTGTTGCTTTGGCTCTAGTTGCTACTAC